GAGGGCGGCCTGCTGTCCGGCAACGAGAAGGTGACCATGCAGAACCTCAACGACCGCCTGGCCTCCTACCTGGACAACGTGCGTGCCCTGGAGGAGGCCAACGCCGACCTGGAGGTCAAGATCAAGGGCTGGTACGACAAGTTCGGGCCCGGCTCCTGCCGCGGCCTGGATCACGACTACAGCCGGTACTTCCCAATAATCGAAGAGCTCAAAAACCAGGTGAGAGGTTGTGTCTCGCTCGCGCGTGTGTTCTGTCCGCTGTCGGCCTGGCGTCAGAATGAGTAGGAGGGGGGCTCCTCTGCTTCATTACCCTCATGATAAAAATGGCACCGGCTATAAAACTGTGCCAGCTTTGGTTGCTTCCGGTCCCTCCCCCTGTGGAGCCCTCTGGGCACGCTCTCGTTGTAAGGAACAGCCTGAAAAAGTCCCCCCCCCCGTTCTAGATCATCGCCTCCACCACCAGCAATGCCAACGCCGTTCTCCAGATCGATAACGCCAGGCTCACCGCGGATGACTTCCGACTCAAGTAAGCTGACTCCCTGAGCAAAAGAAATTCTATGACGACTAACGCAAGGAGCTCGGTCAGGCTTATTTTTAATCCCTCCATGGCCGGGGATTAGCTCAGTGGTGCCTATCTCGCAAGCACAAGATCCTGAGTTCGATTCCCGGTAGTGGAAAAAGAAAAAAAAAAATAAAGAAAATATTAGCGACTCTTACTCCAAAAAGAAAAAAAATGCAAAAGCACTTGGATTTAAAATGATATTATCATCCCAATTCTGCACTTTGGCTAGCTTCAGAAAACTGTTATAATACTAGTGCCCAGTAGCCTACTTTTTTTTTTCTCAAATACCTCAACATTTTAAAATTATGATGATGATTACACAATGAACTTTGAAGATGTCTCTTCTGGCTGAATTTGCCCCTTCTCAGCCCCAGAAGGCTCCCATTTATCATGGATTGGTGACCCTGTCCCACCTGGTAACACACTGGACCATCTTTAACCTTTGCTTTCAGGTACGAAAACGAGCTGGCTCTTCACCAGAGCGTGGAGGCCGACGTCAATGGGCTGCGAAGGGTTTTGGATGAAATCACCCTGTGCAGAACGGACCTGGAGATCCAGTATGAAACCCTGAGCGAGGAGATGACTTACCTGAAGAAGAACCACAAGGAGGTAAGAGCTGAGCGCCTATCCGCCTTCCCCAGCCCTGCACACACTTGACTACCTCACACAGAGGACTCACTCATGCACCAGGCGGCCAAGGCACCGCCAGGCAACGCTGGGGGCCGGGATAGATTCCCCTGGCTCTCCCGTTCAGTTTCCCATGGGAAAATGCAAGGAACCACATTTTCCGGGACAATCGGGGTTATAACACCAGCGTCGGGCTGTGTAATTAGAGCTGTGTTAAGATGATCCGCACAGGAGATTATGCTTAATTAGACAGAGTGAAAATGCTTCTAGGACTTCCTGAGAAGCCTGGGTTGGAACCTTTCTACCCCGGTGGCACATTTAAAATGCCAAAACATTAACTTCACGTATACATTGAGTATCTATCCTTCACAATGCTACATATTCTGAATAGATGTGGCTATCAAATTGAATCTACACTTGGGGAGTAGTTTAAGTGTCACCAAGAGTTCTATTTTTTTTAGTTTGTAAGTACATGTGTGTAGTACCTGAAGGCCACACTCCTGTGGGAAGTTGGCACTTACACACAATATCTCTTTATTCCTTTTTTTCATCTCCTCTCCCTTCCCTCCTTCCCTCATCCATTCCTAGAACCCCTTCCATTTCTTCCATATTTATCTTTTCAAAATGGGTCACTTTTGGAAGCAAGATTCAAAATCACATAGCACAGCAATTGTATCCTTGGGATTGCTTTAGGTTGTTTTTTTTTCTAATCTATCCTTGGAAAATAAATTTGGTATTTTTAAACAATCGAAAACATCCATAGTCTATCCAAAATGTGTGTGTGTGTGTGTGTGTGTGTGTGCATTCTATGATAGTTGCACAAGTTCTTTGTGAATTGAAAGCAAATGATTTTTTTTTTTTTTACTTACAGGGGAGACATTAAAAATCAATAGTTTCCAATTCATTCAGAGATTGTTGAGCAGCTACAATAGGTATAATATACAACCTCAGGAGTGAGATCCACACACAGACAGAAAAGGCAGAGCCCAGCAAGGATGCTAGAGCAGCCTGAGGGCTTCCCTGAGGAGGAAAGAAGCCTCCACAACCGTATTCAGATCAGCCCTGGGTGGGAGGAGAGAGACTGTGGCAGACTCACACTGGTCTGAGTTTTTTCCGTTTGCAGCCTTAGAGGTGAGGCTGCTGTTCACAGTTAGGACAGATGCAGTGCACCCTAAGAGCACACTGCTCAGAAGAAGCCATGTATAGACTTTGACTGCAAAATAGATTCAGCTTCCTTTTGATAGCAATCTGTTTTGTGGTACTGGGAAATGACCCCAGGGCCTTTCCGTACTAAATGGCTAAGATGCCCAGGCTGGGCTTGAACTTGTGATCCTCCTGCCTCAGCCAATAACCAGCATTTATATACCAGCCAGGATTTCTCAGTCTTCCTATTATTACTAGCCCTTTCATTTCTCTCTAACAACCCAAAGAAGAATTTTTAACTAACTTCAAATTTTAGATAAGTACATCAAAGCTTAAATGGGTCAGTCAGCCTTCCCAGATTCACCCAGCCTGTGTGGGGCAGGCAGAATTCACGGAGATCGTCTGACCCCGTGGCCAGCAGACTCAGGGCTTCCTCCCCCAGGGCAGCATACGCGCATGCGCACATTTGTGTCTCTGCGGTCGCTTGGGTTATTCTGAATTATGGTTATTCTGAATTATGCGATCTCCCGTTCAGGCTGCCAGGGCTCGGGGTGTGGCTCGGGGGCCTTAAGAACATAACGAGCTGCTCGTCGTCCAGGGCAGTGACACTCACTCTCTAAACACGCAGAATGAGAGAGGAGGACGATTTGTTTTCAGGACTTTTTATTGGGAAAAGGATTTTTGACTTGTTCTGGGCAGCAAAACTAAGAACTGACAAGTTGGGGATGCAGGAGCCAGAGCCCGGCTCGTGGGAAGAGAGCTCTCTGGAACAATAAAAACTCCAGAAACAGGGCCAGGGATTGGGCTCAGTGGTTCCGCTGCCTGCCTTGCAAGCGCGAGGACCTGAGGACCCGAGTTCGATCCCCGGTACCCCCGCAAAAAATATTCAGAAACAGGCAAATAGGCAGCTGCGTGAGGTAGTGAGTCCTGCATACGAGAGAGGTAAGTGGAAGGGAAGGAGGGGAGGTCCCTGCACGGCCTGGGCAGCGGTCACCAGGCGACCTCCAAGGCCCCTCTGGGAGCGTCCAGCTTCCCCTGAGCTCCTGCAGGGCCGAGCTGACCTTGCCTGTGCTCCCAGGAAATGCAAGTCCTGCAGTGCGCGGCCGGCGGCAACGTGAACGTGGAGATGAACGCGGCCCCGGGTGTGGACCTCACGGTGCTGCTGAACAACATGCGGGCCGAGTACGAGGCGCTGGCGGAGCAGAACCGCAGGGACGCCGAGGCCTGGTTCAACGAGAAGGTGCCCCCCCCTCCCGGAAACGCCCCCTGCACCCCGGGCACGGTGCCCGCGGCACTGAGCTCTGTGGCCTTTTCCTCCGTCCTTCCAGAGCGCTTCCCTGCAGCAGCAGATCTCCGAGGACGTCGGGGCCACCACCTCAGCCCGCAACGAGCTGACCGAAATGAAGCGCACGCTGCAGACCCTGGAAATCGAGCTGCAGTCGCTGCTGGCCACGGTAGGCCGAGGACAGGGTCTTCCCTCTCCCGGGTTCCTCTGCAACATGGAGTGGTCGGTTCAAACAGCCCCTGAAAAAGATGTCCGCGAGCGTTTCTGCAATTATCCGAAAACATAAGCAAAGACTAGCATCATCTTTAGAGTAGCTCAAACCGTTGCAAGGCCGCGGGGGTCTGTTCTAAGAAAAGAAGGCTTTGCCCATTTAGTCTACTTTTTTTTTTGTATCGGGATCAGACTCGGATCCTTGCACTTTCGAGGCAGTAGTCAGAACCACGGAGCTAAAGACCCGGCCCTAAGCTTTGCCCTTTTAAAGCAGTGTCACAGAACATCTGAAAGACACGTCTGCGTGAAAACGAAAACGATGATGGGAAAAGTTAACAGGAGGAGAGAGTCAGATGTGCGAGGTCTCTGCACGTCTGACTCGGGGCCTCTTTGTGGTTCTGACAGAAACACTCACTGGAGTGTTCCCTGAGCGAGACCGAGGGCAACTACTGCTCGCAGCTGGCCCAGATCCAGGCGCAGATCGGGGCCCTGGAGGAGCAGCTGCACCAGGTCAGGACGGAGACCGAGGGCCAGAAACTGGAATACGAGCAGCTGCTCGACATCAAGGTGCACCTGGAGAAGGAAATCGAGACTTACTGCCGCCTCATAGACGGGGATGAGGGGTAAGCGAAGGAATAGACATGCAAGACATCCTCGGACTAGGCCCTCTGTGTCCATGAGTTCTGGTCCTTAGGTTCCGTTGACCACTGGGGAAAATACTCGAAAATTTAAGACTTGCATCTGTTCTGAACATGTACAGAGATTTTTCTTGCCATCCTCTAAACGACACAAATATTTGCACAGTGTTTGTATTGCCCTAGGTATTATTAGGAATCTAGAAATGATGTGAGGTGTAGGGGAAGATGTCCATAGGCCGTACACAAAAGCTATGTCATTTTATAGAAGGGACCTGAGCATCCTGGGATTTGGGGGTCTGCTGGGGTCCTGGAACCCATGGCCTCCTGTACGGAGGGAACAACTTACCTTCCAATTTGCTTTAAACTTAGACCCCCGGACACCGAACCTGAACTAAGGTAGCTGAATTTAGTGTCTCAAACGGTAAATTTTAAACGTAATACTCTGCTGCCAAGATATACATTAGCAACATTTTACCAAATAAAATCATCAAACACCTGGCATTTCAGGAATGTAGATTAAAATATCACTTATTCATGCTAAAGCCAAGCAGGCTCAACTGTGCAATCCACCAAACAGAGTCTCAGCAAAGAACTAAAGGAAACCTAATAGTGGACCAAGAACTGAAGGGGTTGACTCATTTCCTATCTGTGGTGATGTTTTTGCAGGGCTTGTAAGTCTGGAGGTTATAAGTCGAAAGACTTTGGAGCCGGTAGCATGGGAAATCAAATCAAAGGTAAGAAAAATGAAATTCCATTGCTATGCTGTACTTTATTTTCAGATTCTTTTCTTTTTTCTTTTTCTTTTTTTTTTCTCGGGACCTTGCACTTGCGAGGCATGCAGCGGAACCACTGAACTAAATCCCAGCCCCTGTACTTCATTTTCAACACACAGTTGTTGGCTTTTATATTATCACAGCTTTGTAAGAGCAGGTTCATTTCAGACTTATAGAAGGCATCGGCTCACATCTAACTTTAGAGATGCCTGTTAACTTTATGCAGCCAATTGCTATAGTTTTACCTAATCAAGTAGTCAGAATTCCCCAAACGTGAGCCTGCGTGTTTGTGCTTACTGTCCGTAGTATCTCTGATAGGATTTCTTCTTCATCTGTCTACAATAATTTTTCAGACCCAATCAAAGCCATAGTGGTTAAGAAAGTCCTTGAGGAGGTCGACCAGCGTAGCAAGATACTGACCACCAGACTCCACTCCCTGGAAGACAAACCTCAGAGCAATTAACGGAGGGCACTGCCAGTGATCCTCGAGAGGAAAAGGCACTGAGCGTGTCCGGAGAAATGAGCAAGTCTAAGGGCAGCGTCCGCCTGCTGTGTTTCTGTCCCTTTCTGTTTCCGGGCTGTCAGCCCATTCCGCGGAAGAATGCCGCAGAGAAATCTGTTGCCAACCCTTCCTACTCAATAAATTTTCTTCCTTTTGGCAAGTTATTTCCGGTGATGCTGTCTTACTTAACGATGCTTGTGAGTGACCCAGATACCGTGGTGCCTCGGTTCACGGACGTCATTCTTCCCACGACTCCGGTCGAAAACCAACCTGGACGAGAACCGAGTCAAATTTCCCCATGAGGTCAACACGACTGACGCTAACCAGCAAATTTGATTCGGTCCCTGTTCAGTTCAGTTTGCAACCGGAATCGTGGAAAGAATCGCGTTCGGAACAAAGGAACTATTGTAGGAACATGTCACTGTTTGTGATTTGTATGAAATTTTAAAAAATAGTAATAATTTGCCCCCAAGAATTTCACAAGATTTTCCCTGATAATTCAAAATAGGCAAATTCAGTGTCTCTGGTGTGAGAACCTGAAAGTGTAAATAAGGACTAGAAGGTGCAGCAGATCATGTGAAATAGGAAGAAAAGGGACAAAGGGGAAGTGGGGGGGGAGGGGAGAAGAAAGAAGGGAAAGGAATTAATATGAGGAAAAAGAAAAAACGGAAACAAAGTCTTTGCAGACAGGGAGGGGTGGAGGGGATGAAGGGAGGGTGGGGGATTAAGGTGGATTAGGTAACGGTGCAAATTTCCAAGGATGAGTGTCATTGCATTGTATACCTTAGAAGTACCAATAAAATTAATTTTAAAAATAGACTAATTCAGAAGGAAGAAATATGCTTCTGCCTAGATCCTTAATTTACCGTATTGTAACATAGTTCCTGAAAGCACTTCTTTCAAATAATTATAGTGAAGATTAAACAAATATATTATTGTAAAGCTCCCTTATGAGATAAGTACTCCGGTGCTCTCATTTTTAATACTCAATATTTATAATGCTTTAATATCCAAATCTCATTCCTCTTATGCGTGTACATTCAAGCAATATTCCAAGGGCTGAGGATTTAGCTCAGGGGCGCCTCGCCACTGGTCCTTACCAAAGGACTTGAATTCAATCCCCGGTACTGAAAAAAAAAAAAAAATTCAAACAATGTTCCAAATATAAGAGACTTTAAGTCAAAGTTCTGGTTTAGAAGCAAAGTGATATTAATGGGGTCATCTACTTGCCCTACACAGTTGATGTTTCAAGCTGTCCTGACAGATGAATTCATCCCTAATATAGGAAAATAAGCTGGATGAGCCAAAAAAATTTTTGATCATATGCCACACCTAGATTCTTGGTACCATTGGTATAAAGAAAATTCTAAAAAATAAAATTTAAAATCACAACTTTGGGGGCCAGGATGTAGCTAGGTGGTTCCGCTGCCTGCCTCACAAGCGCAAGGTCCCGAGTTCGATCCCCGGTATCAAAATAAACAAATAAATAAATAATAAAACCACAACAATTGGATTCTATACTAGATTAGACAGTGGGAGAGAGAATTAATAAAGTAGAGTGAAGAGATTTCCTGGACTTTAGCGTAGAGAGAAAAGAACAGACTCGTTCTCCTGAGGGGAGTCGGGCCCAGGTCTGTCTGTTTCCTCTGCTGCCGTTTTATTCACCCGTTCATCGTGCGACTCCGCCCACCAACCTAAGCTCTTGACACAGTAACTGTTTTTATCATCTCTGAATCCTCGGGGCCTACCTCAGAACCCAGAGCTGAATGAATAACAGGAAGACTCAGGATGATACCAAAAACAATTTGGATCTGCGCCTAAGACTTGAAAGGAATCCAAGTAATTAGTCATTGAAACACCTAGGTGCCAAAATAAACTTGAGTCACTCCGCTCTGTATGGGACATGGCATAATAAATATCCAAAAGACATCTACGGAAAGTCGTGCAAGAGAATCAGATAATCAACCGGAAGTGGGAGGGGTGGGTTTTGTCCTTGTCTTCCTAAGATCATTTAGGACAAAATTTCGACCAGGCTGCGTATTGGAAACAGGAACCATGCTGTAGCAACACCGCCAGACTGACTGGCATTGGTAAAGTTATGAAGCGGCGATCCTCCGTTCTGCTCAATGTTAAGTCTCCTTTGGGATCAACAGCAAGTCAACCCCACCAAACACCGGGATGTGCCTTTTCCTCCCCGATTCCAGGAGGGAACTCTTACCATAAAAAATTTACCTGGAGCCGGGTGTCGTGGCGCACACCTGTAATCCCAGCACTCGGGAGGCTGAGGCAGGAGGATCACTGTGAGTTCGAGATCAGCCTGGGCTACATAGTGAGTTCCAGGTCAGTCTCAACTACATAGTGAGACCCTGTTTCAAAACAAACAAACAAACACCAAAAAAAAAGTTTACCTTGAAGGTGTGGACAGGTCGTGCCCCACACCAGGATGCCCACACCACACCCCGCTCCCCAAGCTGGGAGCCCAGGAAAGGAGGCGACTTTTCCAATGTTCAGAGTTACAGAGAAGGACGCAGAGGTCCTGGCACAGTTGTTGAAATACACAAGCACCACAGGAGATGCAGCAGTCCCTGCTTGGCGTCCCCTGCATGCCCCACTGTGCCGCCCCAGACCTTGCCCTCCGCCCTCCACCACGTAAGTACACGTGCCAGGCACGCGTGTGCCTCCAGGGGCCCTGCTCAGACCTCCTGGCTGCCGGGGTTCACTCTAGCTCATCAGGCCCGTGCCATGAAGCTGCTAAATATCTTACGTATCACACCTAGATGTATCCATTCTCTTTCGTTGTTTTGTTTTGTTTCATTTCGCTTCGTTTTCTGCATATCCCAAAGTGTCCGGCAGCCACTGATAGGCTTAGGGCTGGTCTGTGCAGAGCTGCACTCTGCAGATCCAGCGGATCTGTCCCCAGGGTGTGAGAAACCGACCCAGGGAGTGCCGCGTGTGATCCACGCTAGAGCCTCGTCCCAGCCCCGGGTGGCGGGTACCAGTGTCATGGCTTGGACCCCTTCCTAACAAATCAAATGACATGTTGCCAAACTAAAGAAAACACCTCTAACTTACTTACCAGAGAAGGCAGCACTGAAGAGAGACTAAGGGAAAAGTATACGGATTGTTGGCAGGATGAAGCACCCAATCTGTGCACTTTGGAGAATTCCTGCTTCATACAATGATACAGCTAATAAACGTATCGAGTATGATGAAGAGGAAGTGAAATGTGAAAGTTATTTCCATATTACCTAAAAGTCTGAAGATGCGAGAGTGCTCAGCGGCCTTCTAGACCGTGCCAAGCTTCCTCGTGATGCCGGGAGATGAAGGCGTGGTCCCAGAGTCGATCCTGCGACTCGGCATGAGGGCCACCATCTTCCTAGTCCTTTTGCAGGCTGCCAGTAATTCCCCTCACTCTACAGTAAGTCTTTGCAATAAGTCTGAGCAGCAACTTGAATGAGTTGGGCGCTGAAGTGAAAGCATTCGGGAGAAAATGATCCAATCTCAAAGAACGCCTTTCCAAAATGGCAAGTCTACAAAGAAAACCCAGAGCCAGGCTCCCAATCCCTGCCTTTGCAGCACTGATGCCGCAGCAGGCGTGGGGCCTGGGAGGCTTGTCACCTGTGGCTCCGCCCCGCCCACCAGGCTGTCCCTTCCCGAGGGAAGCAGCTGAAAGCTGGGCAGGACCATCGCTACCTGGCTCCGGAGGGCTTCCTCTGGGCTGGACGCGGAAAGAAGCTTCACTTATACCCGGTACCGAGAGACAGTGGCTAGGATTTTTGAATTAGGCAGAAGAGTCCCTGACTTCGCAATGCAGCCCAAAGTCTCAGTCCCCACCAGCCTGCAGGTTGCATTGCAGCCTCCCTGACATTCGTAGGCTGACTTAGTTTGTGTCATTCTTTAGCGGCTCTGCCCCAGGCTGTTGACGATTTAGGGATGCTACCATTAATTCGGAGCTGTCCATTGAAAGGGAAGGAAGAAAACAGAAGTCCCCTTCCTCCTCCTGTCTGAGTTCCGTTGGGCAGAGGGGTGGTGGGAGTCCAAGACCATCCGCAGTCCCAGGGAGGACTCACCAGACTCGTGAGCGCGGCGACACTGGGGTGTGGCCTATCACAGGGGAAGGACCAAGACGGGGAAAGCAGAAGGACCCAAACGGTGGCGTCCAGGAGAGACCGGGCACGAGCTTCCGCTGTCTTTCCACATGGAGTCACACGCGACAGCACGGAGCGGTCCTCCCATCCATGCCGCGTGAGGCCACAGGGGAAGCCACTGCCAGCCAGGGAAGCGGCCTGCACCTGGGCGTCCAGGCTCAGCCACCCCGCTGGACAGCGCCTGTGTGATCCAGCGCTCAGACTGATGCAGCGCAGCCAAGCGCCTCGGTGGCGCGGCCCCAGGTCCCAGGTGCAGGAAGACACTCCTGAGAGTAGGACGTCCCACGGCTCCCAGGTTCTTTCTGAGGAGCCGGGAGAGGCCAAACCCAGATTCCCTCAGGGTCTGAATACCCCGAGCCATTTGCTTAACCCATATCTACAAAAGGTCCCACAACAGGGCCCGCGATGTGCAGAGTCTGACCTCAGCACAAGGCTCCCACACCTCCTCCCCGCGAGAAACTCCACGCTCCAGGCCCCCGTGTCCTTCCAGCAGTTCTCCGTTTAATACAGAGCATCTGGGGGTCTGCGGTCCGCGCTCTGCACGCGGGAAAACGCGGGACCCTGTCCCAGAAAGCCGGGGCCCTACAGACAGCAGGAGATGAAAACGAGGGCTTCTCTGTACCCCTAGACTCCACCCGGGGCCAGGGAGGTCTGACAGCCCTGGGAGCTTCGACCCCACAAGCAGGATGGAGTTGGTGCGTGTGGCGAACAGAAGAAGGCGCGCTTAGGAGAAATGTGTAACCGTTGCAAGCATTTGCCAGGTAATTAAGGCAAAAGTGGGAAAAGTCTTCCACCACCACGCAAGGCGGCCTCAGACAGAGCAGAAGGCAGAGTCCCCGACCTGCTGCACAATTAAGCATCCAGGCTTCGAAGCACAGGAAGAATTTAAGTGATACTCCCAGAAACCTAACGTCAAATCTTATCTTCCAAGGCCTAAAGCCCACACCCGCCGCCTTCCTCTTCACCTTCAACACCAGCTTTTCCTGATGTACAGAAACGGAACTCAAGAATCCAAACACGGGCCTCACAAGTAATTTGCAATGATTGACTTTTTGTTTATGCTTTAAGATTTAAATGCACCGAAACATAGCAACACTTGATCTCCACAA